TGACCAGGATTTCATCCGTAACTTGCTATTTGCCACATGTCGACTGCCAAGCTCAACCGACAAAGACGCTGCCTTCTTGTTCTTTCAATTATGCAATGACGACAACAATCCCTGCTCTTTCACCATAAATCCCTGTGTAATTGACAGATGTTTCAGGCATTGCAAATATTGACCTTCTTCGGAGAAGATGGCATTGAAATTGTTATTGGTTGGGTCATTATAAATTCTTTCTTTGTCCCATCAAACCGAGCACATGATTTATACCGTAGAGGCAGACAGTTAGAACTAGGTTTTAACAGCCTGTCATTTCAAAACTGATGAGGCGTAAATATTGTTTAATTACAGCGTATAACAGGCTATTGATGTAGAATATGTTCATATGGCATTCATTTTCTTTTTTGTTATCATTTTTTCCCCTTTTAATGCATGATATTTATTTTTGATGAAATCGTTTAATAATAATGTATACAGGTGCAGTACACAAGTAAAGGATGTGCGACGGCTTTTGGGTAGCAACCACTATGCGACAGCACGTGACACAGTGCTGGTCCAATGACCAGGCTATACAAATGTTGGGGCACGGGTGGCCCAGTCATCTAAGGCGCCGCGATTCGCTGTGCGGAGTTACGTCCCTTGGACACGCCAGAAACCTATGATTGTGGGTTCGAATCCCGGTTCGCCCCGATTATGTTTCTAGGTTTGTTAGCACCATACCCGTGCTCGTGGGTTTCACCGAAGTGGTAAACGTCTGAGACCTGCATCACTTCGGGCTTTCCTCCCACATTAAGCTGACACGCCGCAATATAACTGGAATATTGTTAAAAGCGGCGTTAAACCCAACTCACTCACTCACACTATACAAATGTACGGACTATGTCGCGTGTATCTGTGCACATGGTTATGTGCATGGCTACAACCTGTGAAGATCCGGGTTAGAATGTGTTTACAGCAACCCATTCTTGCAGTAACAGGCGAATAACGGGATCGGGTGGTCTTGTTTGATGTATGGCATCGTATCCCAATTACGTAGATCGAGGATCACGATGTCAATCAAAGGATTGTCTGGTCCGTGCTCGATTATTTATAGACCGCCGTCATATATAGCTGGAATATTGCTGAGTGCAGCATAACATAACATACAAGAAAAGCACGTTTTCGCATGGTGTGTTCATGTTTACGAATAATTGTGTGCGCGTTTGCGCATGGTGTGTGCATGTTTACGAATAATTGTGTGCATGTTTGCGCATGGTGTGTGCACGTTTATACATAATCATGTGCATGTTTACGCATAGTTGTGTGCACATTAACACATAATTGTGGGTATGTTGACGCATAATTGTATGCACGTTTACACATAATTGTATGCACATTTACGCATAATTGTCTGCATGTTTACGCATAATTATGTGCACATTTACGCATCAGTGTGTGTATGTTCACGCATATTTGTATGCACATTTACGTATCATTGTATGCATGTTTATACGTAATTGTGTATATGTTTACGCATAATTGTGTGTATGTTTAGGCATAATTGTGAAGCAACGGGTTTGGGTTTTTTTGCTTGGAACTCACTCACTCACTCACTCACTCTCAATTTGCCATACGCTGATCGACATACATCACGTGGGCTCCATTCCGTGATGCATTGCAATTCACGTCCTTTCACGACGGCGTTAGTTACGTGCTCAGTCAAGACACACTAACGCCACCTACCATTCTGGAAAGGTTAAATCATACTTCAAACGACCGTCCAATATTCTGTGATACAAAAATCGATATACGTATAGTGTTTAATAGCCTCATATCTTGCCTGTAATCAAACACCACCATAATCTGATGGCAATGTTTGATATCAAAGGGATAGACCGCTGTTTCTCACGGAGTTGAAATACACATCAATGAAGTTCAGTCTTATAAGTTCGGTCTCATTGATTAAAACGGACTGTTTGATAAACAATTCAATCTGTGATTTGAAACTAGAAAAGCACTAATCTCCTGCTTAAACAAAGAAATGACGCCATACATTCTTAGGTATTCTGCATTGTATATCGGCGTTCGGAACTGTAGAAGGGGTCCCGGATTATGTAGTTCCCCAGTACAACGGGTTTATCGTTTAAAAAATCGCCAACAATGCCATTTTTATCGGAATGTTCTACTGCGTTATATAATTAACTTAACGACTATTACAATGTGACACAATATCATATGTGAAACAAGGCTGTGTTCCCCGTGGTTTGGCTACTTGGTGATATTGAACTCATTAATTGAAGAAAATATTCTCTGTGACTTTCAAAACCTTATATTACGAATAGCGATTTACATGTTTTTACATATTAGAAAGGAACATAAATACAGCTTCACTGTTCATAAACAATTTACAAAAACTTCAAAACTTCATGATTTGCCTCTTAGGAATTCCCGATTTGATTGAGAACTAAGTACATACTCCCCATGCTTGTTGTAAGATCCGGGTTAGTATTGATCTTCAGCAACCCATGCTTGTAGGATGAACTGACTACTAAAACATCCGATGGTCACAATATGTGGGCACATAGCAGTTGGTATTATTGATGCTATATACCTATCTGATAAAGTTGTATCAAGATCCGATAAATATGCAAATGAGACCAACTTGCAGGAACTAACTTCACGCGCCATATATCGATGCCAGTGCTTGCTTGTTGAACACTGTTGACTACTATTCCCAATACGTGTAAATAGGGCCTCGAACTGTGTGGCCGATTTGGGGACAAAAGGTTCTGCAAGTCATTTGGCACCATACATGTTAACTGGGCGGTTCACCCAAACAATATATCATAGACAGTCGAACCTCGTTATCTCGAACTCCAAATATGTCTTATAATCAATCGAGATTAGTGGAAAATATAGCATCTTCCATAAAGGATTTTACTGTTCGCATAACCGTCTTAGAACAGTCAGAGTAAGCTCCCTTCGAACAGTGGTTAATACAAATTGCACAACAGAGAATGGTGAGATCATGTTGAATATTTTCATCAACATCCGATTAAAAAAACAATTGGTATAACATAACGTGGTCGTTTTCTATTCTAATCCTAACAGGTTATTATCGTTATGAAATAAGGATCAACGTCTTGGCGTGTGGCCATGCCTTGTTAACAATTCCAAAGTCGGAAGGCCAGGACCCGATTCCCTTAATGCTTTAGATAGCTCTGTCACTGATTCTATTTCCACACGTCGATGTGATTGGATGTTTTATTGACAGCGCATCGTTCGCAATGTCCCAATGCGCTTCACTCTGAGAATCAGCTCATTCCAATCAGTGACTTTCGGGATAAAACCTGACTTAACAACATCAAAGACACGAAAAGATGACGCTCTCAATCATTTCCTTTTGAGAACTGTCGCTATGTTTTATTTCCTGAAAGAAATTCATTGGAATTTCAAATGCATCCTGAAACACTGATTGTGATGGCTAAGAGTTGTACTGTAAGCCACGGAGTAGGGGGCGGAAGTTGAATGGAAATGGTTCTCAGATGTGTTAATTTGAGGGAGAATTAAACTTGTTTTCTATTCAAGGTAAGGTTAAAAGTAGGGTCACAAGTCACAATTATCTGCCCGAGAAAGACATATGTAAAGTCAGCTAGTTTTCATAACTGTATTTGAAAAATTCCGTATCTTAAAACTTTGCCATGTCCAATGAGCCAGCCACACGGCGTTTTTTTGTTAATTGGTTGACGGATTCGCCGACCGTTAAAGACAATCAAGTAGAAAGCTTGGTCTGACAAAAGATAAAACTCCCCACCACCCACAAAACATGCACATAAATAATGGGTTTTGTTCACTATCTATTTACCACATGATTTCACAAAAAAAACAAAAGAAAATTATTTCCTTTTTTGACCACAAACTTTACATTTTTTGAATATATTAAATCCGTAAACCAACTAATGAAAACTCATACCTCGTCCTGGTGTTTGTGTTGTTAGACAGATGCCACAATGTAAACCAATAAGAATAGTATGACTGTTTGACGACACATTAGGTTATCTTCCTACACATTTCTAATGCCTAAAAACTTCAGACCCGTGAAGATCCGGGATAGAATAGGTCTCCAGCAACCCATGCTTGCCGTAAAAAAGGTGACTAGGGATCGGCTAGTCAGGCTCGCTGACTTAGTTGATGCATGTCATCGATCTCAGTAGCGTGGATCGAAGTTCATGATGTCAATCACTGGATTGTCTGGTCCAGACTCGATTATTTACAGACCGCCGTCATATAGCTGGACTATTGCCGAGTGCGGCGTAAAACAACAAACCAACCACCCAAACTAAAAACTTTAACAAATCTCACAACTTAATGTGGAGTGATCTTGCAATGGTACAGTACAATCGACTCTGCTTTAAGCAGAGATTTCTATTGGATGTGGAAAGGGTTTTGTCGCTTTATTTTCCAAGGCAATTACCTACCCAGTGTGTACTCTACAGGACTGTGCCTTGAACCTATCATTAACCGCAAATGGAAATCTTGATTGCCTTGTTATATTGCACCCTAGTCAGCTCTTTGTTATAACACCCAGCCGATCACGCGAGACCTTCATGTTACTCAATTGGCCCCTCTCCTCAATCTCAGGGCAAGAAGTTGTCCTGAAACGTCATTACAAAACATTGATATCCATAAAAAGTTTTATATTCATGTTCTTCAAAAAATATCTATGAAAAACTTCATTTCTGCTGTATACGCAATACAAATTGGAGCTATAGCCAACAACAGCTACGATTATGAATTTACCTGACGAAAGAGCAAGAAGTAGCTCTCGTCGTGACAAAGACTGGAAGAAGTTACTATCCAAAGAAAGTGACATCTATACATGTTCTTCCAACTTCTAAATTCCTATCAAAAACTTCAGCTACTATAATCTTGACACAGCACTAGCTCAATAGCATGCCGCTTTAGCAGTATATCGGGGTATGTTTACACGCGCTATAAACGAATATGTATACCGAGAGTCCATGACGGGTGACTGACGAAATCGGATTTTCCCTCACGCCTGAGATGACTTTGATATAAGTGGCTCGCAGAACAGTGTTTGTGGAAACAGTACGTGGTATGCCCGGCTAAACAACAGCTTTCAGGAAATGGATCTTAATACAATTCTGAATGAATAGGTTGATTGCGCGAACTAGACCCGTGATTGTGTAAGCCTTGGAAACGACTCATTCATCTAGCTAGGATTATCGATCACTTCACACACAGAGTTGAATGGACAGGTTTGATATAGAAATACAAATCGTCAACGCCAGAGAGTAATCAGTCTGATTATCTGCCGACACAGACACAACGTATAGACGTAAAGACATGAATGTACAGCGTGTATGATGTATAGCGCATTGTATCGAAGGAAACAAGGACAGTCGTCCCTTGCATCTAACCTCCCCAGCAGCCATACAATCAATACAAGGTGAGGCAACATTCTTGTACCAATCGTATCATGTGGGACCGTATGTCGAGAGCTCGTATATATAATAAATCGTCAACGCCAATACACCCTGCAGAACGTTATTGACAGACCATCTACAGAGTGAAGTTGTCAGGAAATTGTCACTACTGCATGAAATATTAAAACGTGTGTCTACAAAAGCTTTGTGAATATTGAATATTTCCCAGCACCCTACGATGATTTTTTAATGCACACATGACTTCACGTAACAACTCTCTTCGTTGATATCTAAACATCAATGACCTATTTGACCTAACAGTCGTGGTTTACAAGAGGCTCTCGGTTGTCATAACACAGACACAAGCGCGTTGCCACACTGTGTCGTTCAATTACTATTCTCGACCTCGGGAAACACACCCGGCATGCCACACTGTCAGTCTAAATTTACCTCTTCCGTTTATGCATGTGCCCTTTCGTTATGGGTGATTGGGGGTGTCGTTGCTGTTACTTCGTGCGTGAAATCTACATTAGGTTCACGGGAGCATATACTTGTATCAGTAAGGGGCCCGTATTACACCCAGATGATGCCATATTGAGCGTGATGGCGAGTGTCACCCATGGGTTGTGGTAACAGTGTACGGGAGGCAACTCGCGGGCAACTGAGTCTCGGAGATAAGGATGTGAAACAACCAGTGAACGGGTAGGGTTGAATGATGGGTCGTGATGGGACAATCAGTGCTACAATTTCCACAAGGAACGGTTGATATGGGGATGTACGTATCGTTCTTTCTGTCGGTGCACAGACGTTGTGAACACTTCCTAGTTAATAAACGCGGCACAAATTACAGTTGTCTACCCTGATATTTCAGGATCCTACATTCTGTTTGGTTGGACAGTGGTCTCTAATCTGCCGGAGATCATGCTTTTGTTAATGGCCGCTTAAGAATATTTATATGAACGTATTAATATTTTCCCCGCTCGGTTCCCTGTTTCAAACAATGGTTTTAAACAATTATTGAATGAATAACGTCTTTATTTATATTATTTGCAACAGGCGTGGCAATATATACTATACGAAAAACGCGACAAAAATATTAAAAAATTGCGTTGTAATATTAAGTAACATCAGATAAACAGACATATGGTCTACTCTAGCGTGTTAACTGCTTCTCAATACTTTGATTTCCTTTCTGTGAAACATTATGCCGTCGTAGTAGGATTTGCAATCATTTCCTCAAATTAGGGCTGGGACGAGTCCAAATTTACTACCCGGGTACCCACCCCACTATTACCCGACCCTACCCGGGTACCCGCTGTGGGTCTCAAGAGATAGGTACAAATGTCCGACTGGAAATAGTTTGACCGTAGCCCTGGCAAAATGTATTTAGATACTCATATAAAACGATCTGGTCGTGCATACACTGAAGTTGACTGAAGTTTTATTTCTATTCAAAGATATAAAGTTGGAAAGAATGTGTGCATAGTCAGAAAGAAATGCAAACATTACTCACTTATAGCGCAACCGTGGAAGTTCTAGATGATTTTTGTCATTGAACAATATATCACGTGACTAACCACGGGTCCGGGTAGTACTCTGGGTACCCGGGTCCTACTAAGGAACCACCCGACCCGAATACCCGAGTTACCCGTCCAAGCCCTACCTCAAATGTTATCTGTTTCAGTTTTTCTACAGAGTATCTGAGTTATTTATTGCAGTTTTGTACAAAGATGTATGAGATCTGCCGTACGTCTTTCAACAGCATCAATAAAATATGATAATTTCGTCAATCCAGAGTTACTCAGCATCCTGAAGATCCTACGAAAAAAGTACGAACCGGCTCTGAGAAAACGGAAGATGCAGTCACAACTAAATCCACCATGAGCAGAAAAACATCTGAACAGAAGTCACGACGACAAGATGGCAGACATGCAGGGAGACCTGGAACCAGTCATCGACACAGAGATCACCCAAGGCCTCATGGGAAGACATCAGCAACTGATGAAGTAATACGTGGTAATGTGACAGTGGAATGTCCGTCCACAGCCAAAATTGTCCGGATCTTTACAAGCAGCACATTTACAGGTACCTTACAGCTTTACAACTCTGCCAACTGCCCGGTCACGACATCTTCCCGAGGCAAGGGAATTAACTGACTATAAAAGTCCAGTTTCCACCCTTGCCGAACTAGGCTGGTATTATTGAGTTACATTGTGCCTGGGCTAACGAGTCTATGCATAGTCCAATCAAAATCGCGCACCTAAATTGAAATCCGGTTCGTAAACTGTCGTGCAGATTTCGATCGATTGCAGGATTTGCAAAGCATGTGCACCGCCAACTCGTTGGCAGCAGATATTTTACAAAACTTTTCATGTTTATAATCAAGGTACTCACGTGATTTGATGCATTTCGCGATGTAAGACCCGTTTTATCACAATATAGATCTTGATTATCGATCAGATCGTCCTGACCGGGCGCCGCCATTTTGTGTGAAGCAAACGCAAGTGATACGAGAGGTAGAATCTGATTGGTCCAAAGAAGAGACTTAGAAGGGACATAACTGGTAATAGGCACTGGTGGCGCTACAATCGAGCCAAGTAATTCCAGCTTAGTTCGGCAAGGGTGGAAACTGGACTTTTTCAAGTCAGTTAACTCTCTTGCCTCGGGAAGATGGGTCCACAATGACATTTTATATTTCTTACTGCTGGCAAATAACACTTTTGACATAAGTAAAGAATGTTCTTCTGTATGTTCCTGTATGTGTCTCTCTGTTTAGACACTCGGAATGAGCGGAACGCCCTGATGGAGAGTGCGTACCCCACCCTGAAAGAGGTGTGCCAGCAGCAGGGGTATGAGTTCCAGGTGGTGGACATGAGATGGGGGGTCAGGGATGAGGCCACGGACGACCACATGGGGACAGAACTTTGTCTGAGAGAAATTGATCTCTGCAAGAAATTGTCTACCGGACCTAATTTTGTTGTAAGTGATCTAGTTTCTGATCGGATACCTTGCTTCATTTGCAAATTACATTTTTCCTTAAATGAATTCATGTTAGACTAAGATTGTTTGTGATGATATGTAGATGGCACCCCACTGTATTATCTACACTGTTTCACCAGTGAGGGAGTGAACATTTTATCTTCAATGGGGACTGTGAATTTTTGTTTCAGTGATAGAAAAAACGTGGGGGTTTTACCGGTTGTTTTTTTTATCTTCTCATACATTATTCCTTATATTTCCCCTTGCAGACATTTCTAAGCCACAAATATGGTTACCGTGATTTCCCAAACAAAATTGAAGCAACTGAATTTGACAAACTGTTTGCTGCTGTGGAAGATGAAGAAGCGTTAATGCTACTTAAAACGTATGTGCATACCCATCGCTTGTTTACGATTTTACAGGAAAATGGACGACACCACAAAGATCAGAATCATACGAGACTCGGACAAATTACTTGCATTATTGTTATTGTTATCAAAAGAAAAGTCTAAGATACAAATACCAGTGTCTAAAAGTGGTGAAGCTAAGGCCTTTCGAAACTGTAGGCAACTTTCGAAATATAAAGTGCTGGGAAATTTAGCGAGGAACGTCTGGAAATCAGTTCCCATACAAGTGCATGAAAACCACTGCCTTGTTTCATTTATGGGGGTTGTTGGGTAGCCTAGCGGTTAAAGCGTTCGCTCCTCACGCCGAAGACCCGGGTTCGATTCCCGACATAGGTACAATGTGTGAAGCCCATTTCTGGTGTCCCCCGCCGTGATATTGCTGGAATATTGCTAAAAGCGGCGTAAAACCAAACTCACTCACTCACTCACTGTTTCATTTATGTCGCTGTGGCGGATATCTCACTGCAGTATGTTATGACAAGCCTTGAAGACTCTAAACGTGATGATTCATAGATTAGAGTAGCTTCCCTTTCATAAAGGGTAATTACTGTAGCGCAAAATATTGCCGCGAAACTGTCTAAAACTACTCAGTAACAACTGTATTGATTGTGGTCACAATCTGACTTTTCAATGACATTGTGACATAATATATTAATAAATACATTCCATGAAAACTTGCAATGTTTAGATACCGTTTGTGAGAGATGAAAATACTTATTTTGGTGATAAAAGTTTATTTTTTCTACATGACATCAGTTGGTTCAAGAGGGATGACAACGCCGTTCCCCCGACCTATTTCCTTCAACCAATCAGCTCCATTCTACCAGACTTCCGAGATGAGAATGAGGAAAAGCGGAAGTCCGCAAAAACAGTTTGGTATGATCAGAATGCAATCATGCAGGAAGCCCTTGTGAAAGCAGCCAACAAGAAACTTGATACAAAGGCGGCTCATCGCTACGTCATGTCTGGTTTGTAACCCTCACTTGTCCTCTTCACGTTTTGTATCTTGATTATGAGTGTTCCATTCAGGCATTCCTATTGATGACAGTGTTTATGTAACCCTCACTTGTCCTCTTCACGTTTTGTATCTTGATTATGAGTGTTCCATTCAGGCATTCCTATTGATGACAATGTTTATGTAACCCTCACTTGTCCTCTCTACGTTTTGTGTCTCGATTATGAGTGTTCCATTCAGGCATTCCTATTGATGACAGTGTTTATGTAACCCTCACTTGTCCTCTCTACGTTTTGTGTCTCGATTATGAGTGTTCCACTCAAGCATTCCTATTGATGACAGCGTTTATGTAACCCTCAATTGTCCTCTTCACGTTTTGTGTCTTGATTATGAGTGTTCCATTCAAGCATTCCTATTGATGACAGCGTTTATGTAACCCTCAATTGTCCTCTTCACGTTTTGTGTCTCGATTATGAGTGTTCCATTCAAGCATTCCGATTGATGACAGCGTTTATGCCTTCAGGTTTTACTTAGAGTGGCGTTGTATTGTTTTCAGTGACTGAGGCAGAAATCACACGAGGGATAGTGGAGTCCGAAGATAGGTTGTCCAGCTGTTTGTGGTTTCACCGACACATTGATGCCATAGATAAACAGGAACCAGGCTACATTCTAAGCAGATATAAGGGTAGAACTTTCTTTGAAAACTGTCAATTTGTTACTTGTATTTAACAAGAAATTGTTGTTACAAAGAGGAACAAAATCATTTCCCAGTGTAAATATAGCATGTGAAAATCAACAACCATTCTTATGCAATACTCTCAACATCAAACGCAGTTATATACCAACATGCAATGGCAATGATATTATGAAGTTGTTGATACGAATGATTTTCTATAGAATGCCTTGGACCTGAAGAGAGAATCAAAGAATCTCAGGATCTCCTATCTGATCTGCGGGACAAAATACTCCCAACCCTGTTGCCCTCTGAGAATCACAAAACATACAACGTCGAATGGACTGACGATGGTGAGTCCTTTGCTCAGTTATATGATACACCCAATCTGTGCACCTGCCCACTCCCCAGCCAGGGCTCAGTTAAAAAAAGAATTGTAGTTAGATCCGCTATCTGTCGTAGATCTCCTAAAGCCAAGAGATGCAATAGCGAAGGCCAAACTAACTCTGTTTCTGAGAGATATAAACAGAGCAGCCAAAGATAAAAAGAAAAATTATATCGATATACGAAAATAGAAATCATATCAAAACAAACAACAGAAATTATGTGAATACCAAACACGCAATGGATATGTGTACCCTTCTCACACACATAAGTCCCAAAGAGGGACAGGTCAGCGGAAATTGCTACGACAAAAGGCGACCTCTTAATACTGATAAGGGACAACCTGTTTGAATATTGTGGTGAGACAAACAAATACTTTTGTTTTGTTTTGTTTTCTTAAAAGGTGTAGATCCCGCAAAGAATAAAAGCCACGAGGCCTACATCAAACAGCTGTGTCAGGATTTCACGGAGGAGATTTCAAAGAAAGTGATGCAAGCCATCGAGAATAGGAAGAGAACGGACTTGGCCAACCCCTTGTATGGAGAGATTGTCGAACATACAGTCTTCTGTCAGTCCAAATGCAAAGCTTTTCATGGACGACAGGAAACGCTAGACGTAAGTTCAGCTTTCCTTATATTTTTTTATTATGATAATGAGAGCGATATTGATTTGCTTTAATGATGATTGTAATGTTACTCTGCCATACACCAATTGTCAATTTAATCATAAAGAGATTTGTACGTTATACCGTTCCCTCGGTTGGTTGGTTGGTTGGTTGGTTGGTTAGTTGTTTTACGCCGCACTCAGCAATATTTCAGCTCTATGACGGCGGTCTGTAAATAATCGAGCCTGGACCAGACAATAAAGTGATTGATATCATGAACATCGATCCCCGCAATTGGGATCGATGACATGCATCAACCACGTCAGCGTGCCTGACCACCTGATCCCGTTAGTCGCCAAGGCCTTTTTACGACAAGCATAGTCGCCTTTTACGGCAAGCATGGGTTGCTGAAGATCTATTCTACCCTGGATCTTCTTGGACGCCAACATCTATGCTTCCCTATTTCTGCACAACATCTGTCTTATTATTTTAGCTTATTACGAAATACCTTCGAGGAACTACTAGAACTCCTTTCATTGTGCACGGACCTTCAGGCTGTGGGAAGACATCGATTGTTGCCATAGCAGCTACATTAGCATCACACACCTTCGGCAGCAAGGTCGGGGTGGTAATAAGGTATGATAACATCATTCATCCAGGTATAATTAACACAATGTATTGGCATATATTTTTTTTCTGTAACTTAGAATTATTCCTCTCATATTTTAACAACGGAAATACTCACAAGCGTATTTCTCTTCTTAATTAAATTGTAACCTTTAAATTATCCCTTATAATCTCTTCAAATTGTGTACTAATGTCCATTGACATGAAAGTCGAAAACATTTATGTTTATACTGTACAAAGGACATTGATCAGGATTGTTTCTGTTGTGTTTGTTCAATCACATCAGATTCATTGGTACTACACCGGACAGTTCATCCATTGGTGCATTGCTGTCCAGTGTGACGTCACAGATATGGAGGATATATGGTAAAGACACAGACCGGGAGCTGCCTCCTGTAAGAATCACTGTTTCCCCTTCACAGCATAGTCAAGTTGTAACAGATTTGCCTATCTTGCCTTGTGGGTAGACATGTGTTTCTTCTTCAAAGTGTAGTCTTGCGGGTAAAGATGTGTCTCTATTTTGAAGTGTGGCCAGGTTGTTTAAGATTGCCTCTCATCTCTATAGTTTAGCCCTCCGAGGAGTAGAGATGTGTCTTTTCTTCTATGTGAAGTCTACTAGGTAAAAATATTCTTGGCAGGTTAGTCTTGTGGATAATGAGATGACTCCTTCAAATCTTTCTTATTCCCAGTGAATACAAATTTTGACAAGGCGCTGAAATTGGTATCCATCACTGACCCTTATATGTATATAGACGTAACACACACAAAATTATTCAACCTTTTCTGTTCAAGGATATAAAGGAACTTACCCCAATATTCCACGAGGCTCTTAATATGGCCAACAGCGATGAGCCTTTGGTTCTTCTACTTGACTCACTTGATCAGTTTGACCCATCTGGGGGCGCGCGGCAGCTTTTCTGGCTTCCTGAACAACTCCCTGACAATGTGAAGATGATCTTGTCCACCTTACCGGAACCGCAGTATGAGACATTTCCCCGATTACAGGTAAATATATAACATACATTGCGTTTCAGAGAAGAATATATATTTTAGACTCTATATCAACAATAAACACCCAATTTATGACATATTGTTAAGGTCTGCATTCTACGTATCTTTTTCAGGAAATGTATTCTGAAAGAAACAATTTCCTGAAAGTTCCAAAACTAGCGGACAATGACGTCGATGGTATACTTAACAAATGGTTAAATCAATGCAATCGGGTTCTGACTGAGCAGCAGAGGCAAACCGTCCTTGGGGCTTTTCAGAAGTGTCCACTCCCTTTGTTCCTGAAACTGTCATTTGATGAGGCATGTCGTTGGTCGTCCTTTGCATCCAAGTCAGAGACAACTCTTTACACATCTATTCGAGGAAGCATCAATGCCCTGTTTTCCAGGGTTGAGGGACTACATGGAAAAATCTTTGTGTCAAGAGTTCTTGCATATCTCACTTTGAGTAAGTATTTTGTATTAGATCACACGGGGTTGTTACAATTTGTTGTACAGAGTTGTGCCACTTAGTTGTGCAAGGATACGCTAATTTTGTGATTTTATACCAAGTTCGACCTGAAAATCTCAGTAAGTGAGCACCCTTACCTGGCTTGGTGGGTAACACAACAGTTGGTTTTCCGATCATATTAGGAATCAAATATTTGGAGCACATTACTTTAACAATTGACACCAAAACAAATGAGGTTTGGCCAAGACGTTTTATTTAAGCTCCATTGATATGTATGATCAGATATTGTCCCATAGCGGTCAAATAGCCAAGGGGCGGTCGGGTAGCCTAGTGGTTAAAGCATTCGCTCGTCATGCCGAAGACCCGAATTCGATTCCCGGCATGGGTACAATGTGTGAAGCCAATTTCTGGTGTCCCTCGCCGTGATATTGCAGGAATATTGCTAAAAGCGGCGTAAAACCATATTCACTCACTCACTCAAATAGCCAAGTCCACTGATTTACCAACCTAAACTAGAAATAAAAGAGACAAGTGAGACCGCCTCATATATTTAGATTTGTGAATATTTATAATGAGTAATGGCCATGGAGGGATGGCTTCAACTTTCCAATTGCCAGCTTTCTCTCTATGTAAAGCAATATTCCAGCACCTCTAGTCTATTATATCTACATTTCAATACTTTAGAAGTGCAATCGAGCATGCCCTTTCCACGGACATTTCAAAGAGCCCTTACGGGCTAAAAAGTTGTTTTTATCAAGGTTACAACTTCCAAGGCCTCAGAAAATCTTTAATAAAGTTTAATGATAGACATGTGGAGGACATGCCCAAATTTGATGTATCAGTGACAAGCATGATGTGCGATGAAATTCCGTATTTGACTTGTACCAATATTCTCCCTTTCTTTCAGTGTACAAAAAGTATTGAATTGACTTTGTATGAGTTTGTGACAGGTGACAGTGGTAGGGTTGGATAATATCACCCTTTCCCGGACACCTATATGGTATATGGTATAATCACTCTGTGACAGTGATTCACAAATACATCCTTGTGGTGCAGTCGGAACGATATAATGGACTTCATGGTTTTAGGGGGGGTTTTGTGATGATGGGAATGTTTTTTTGGCGCTTTTAATGAAAATATTATTCACATGTACTTGACGAATGTTTATATGTCAGCATTAATGCACAATTGGTTTATGTACAAGTATGGAGGAAAAACATATATTATTATTGGATATGAAATAGAAAGATTTTGTTTTGACGAAATGAGGTCTTGTGTCTTCTTTAGGTAAAACAGGCCTGACGGAGAGTGAGTTGGAGGACATCCTGTCATGTGACGATGACGTACTCAATGACGTGTACATGTACTGGACTCCCCCTGTCAGGCGACTTCCGCCTCTTCTCCTGGTCAGGCTGAAGGCAGACCTGGGTCAGTACTTGATGGACAGAGGCGCGGATGGCGTGAGGGTCTTCTTCTGGTATCACAGACAGTTCATAGAGGCTGCCACAGACAGATATTGCTCTGATCCTCAATTGAACCAAGTATTGCATGGAGCTTTAGCTGATTTCTTTGCTGGAACTTGGGCAAATGGTGAGTGTTTGGACACAAGCGATACAACCTCGTATATTCCCAATGTCTTGTACATGGTATATGAACATTGACGTAAATTCTCTATCAAAGTGAAAATAAATGAAGACATCAAGTCCTAAACCTACAATCACGCATTTATGAATGTGTTCAATCAATTTAGATAAATACATTTTCGGCATACTTTCTACTGGTAATGTTACAACTCAAAAACTAAAAGAACCCAGGCAAGGCCACAGCTTACCTTGACAAGAAGGGTAACACAGAAATTGCTGGCCATAGGGCTGCAACACAGCCTGACAAATGACTGGTTTTAATTTGAGTAAACTGAACCACCTGCCTTACCAGCGGACAGAAGCATGTCAGTTGGGTTTGTTAAAGTTCGAGTGTTTGTTGAACTCTACTTTCATTTGTCAAAACTAAAAGCACCATGTTAGGCTAAATTCTGACACTATTTAAGTTATTAAAATAAGTGAAATTACCCAGTCCTAATTCATGTAATTATGAAAATGTTCAATCAATTGAGATAAATAAATGTTTTCATTTCTGTCTGGTGTCAGTGGTCAACCCATATAACTTTCACTACTATTCTGCCTTTTACGCACTGTAGTGTCTGTTTCGGAAGAAAATCGAGACTGATTATTCTCTGGCGTTAACGTTTTATATTTTTATTTGTAATGCTAAAGGTACGGCCAAAGCATACATGGACACGAAAGATATCCGGTGACTATTTTTTGACAGTTGGTACAAGCAATCCCTTTGAGGATTCGAACATATTTAAGGTCGGAAATGGGTTTAGAACAGATAGGACACCCCAGCACACGACAATATCGTAGCAGCAATACCAAGTGGTGCCTACATTTGACGGATTTGGTACAAGGAAACCCTTTAAGGAATCGAACATGGACGTTTGTGCACAGTGTTACTTGGAGCCCGCCATTGCTACTTGCAGCTTCAATTTATATTTATATTGGTAATGTTAAAATTCAGGTAAGGCCAAAGCGTATCTTGACAAGAAGGGTAACACAGAAACTGCTGACCGTAGGGCTGCAACACAGCCTGACAAATTCAAGACTGGTTACAATTTGAGAAAACTGAACAACCTGCCTCACCAGCGGACAGAAGCAAAGCAGCTGGGTCAGCTAAAGCAAGAGTGTTTGTTGAACTTTGCTTTCCTCCTGTCAAAACTACAAGCATCGGGTTTAAGGTAAGAAGACTGGCACTGAAAAATGAGGTAAAATCTCGTTTGAGGTCTCGTTCAAGGTTATTTTACTGACATAGTAACGTGATTGAACGTGTGTGTTTAGCTGTTAATTCTAGTCCAGACTTTATGCCAGTGTTAATAGTACTAGCCCACTGAGATATCACACCACGATATGACATGGATACTCCACTCAGACCAGTGTTAATAGTACTAGCCCACTGAGATATCACACCACGATATGACATGGATACTCCACTCAGACACATCAATCTGACTCTAAAGCAGCTTGTCCTTCTTTTATCCTTTTGACCGCCTCTAGTGGTAGAGCGTCTGCCTGGAGAGCAGAAGGTCGCGCGTTCGTACCCCGGCCGCGTGATAGATGATATTTGATGTTATCCTGCCTGGCGCTCGGCATTAAGGGGTTCAAACTAGGACTTGTCAGCTCGGAGTCAGTATACTGTGTATGAGAATTCATGTTAAAACTGCAGCATTTCATCTCAGTGGGCTAGCACTTATAAAATCGGCATAAGTCCGTACACGCGCACGCACACACACACACACACACACACACACACACACACACACACACACACAGATACACGTGCATGCATCTTGAACGTGACGTTACACCCCATTTCACCGCACCTCACCTTTTATCCCTTTGATACCTATCGCCTGGAAGGGCGAAAAGTACCATCTTTTAAAGTACTTTGATATGATGCGGTGACGGGACCAAACAACTACCTTTTTCCGGGCAGTCGCTGTATCCATTACACCAAAACTGTATGTATTCATACATAAGCACTCACCAGTTAAAATATATTAAAATACTTCTGAAAGATTCTGTATCGTTTCTAATCATGTTAATATCTCCATGAATCCAGGCCCATCCTTGAGGACTTCATTGCGGCCAGAAATGTGTACCCAGGGGACCATGAACTAAAGACTGTGGGAGAGAGTCTTCAGTTGTCCCAAGATGCTCTTGTATCATATCCAAACGAGCTCCCGTCTCAGTTCCTGGGCAGGATAAAACTATGGGATGGCCTGGAGGATCTCCTGGCCGGTTGTAGGAATGCACCAAACTTCTTCCTTGAGCCTGACAGACCCGTCCTCACAGAACCTGGTGGACAGCTGGTGAACTGTCTTGCCGAACACCAAAAACAAATCTCTGGAATTGATATGACCAATGACTCCAACTTTATTGTGACATGTAAGTCCTGTTATTAACTTACGTCATATCAAAATGCCATTTTTCAAATATTCGTTTGACGTACAAGTGCCCTCTATTTTCTAATGTGCAGCTTCACTTCTATTCCAGGGTGCTCATGATGTCAATCACTGGGTTATCTGGTAGAGACTTGATTATCTACAGACTGCTGTCACATAGCTGAAATAGTGTAAAATAGTGAAATAGAGTGCGGCGTTAAATAACGAACGAACCCAAACAAACAAACCGTTCTTCTAATGTTCCCTTCTATTCCCAGGTGCCTATGACAGGTCGGTGAAAGTCTGGGATGTTGCCAGTGGAAAACTGGTTCGGTCAATCGATGCGGGAGAAGACCCGGAGACGGTCCTACTCTGCTGTGATGATTCTGTAATAATTGTTCACCCAGATGAACATATACTTGGTTATGACTTCAAAACAGGTGCCCTGCTGTACGACCTATTCTTAGAACAGAGAAGACGTTCGTTATGTGTGGGAGGAAAGAACAACAGTATCCTTGGAACCTTTTACAAACAGACAGTGTCACTATATGCTGCTGACAAAGGGACACTCATAGGAACTGTGGTGTGTTCTCTGCTTGGATATTTTCAGAAATGGTCGCGTAACAAAAGTCTCTATGCCGGTAGGTATCGATGAAATGAACGTTTAGTCCACAAGCCCTTAAGATGGTTTCTGTCACATGGAAACTCATGGCTCTAAGTCTATTATTGCACACAAAAATACAAACACGAGATAATCAGTATATCAAAAGGCGTAACTGTCACACCAGTAGCAACCGTTCTGTGAGAAGGTCGGGGTACATTTAGAGAACTAATTGTTCACTCTCAACAGTTAATTTGGTAACGCTACCATTGAGTAATCATTGAGTTAATCCTTTGTATCTCGAAAACAACGTTATGGTTATATATTAAGGAGTGTGTTCACCACTAAATTTAATGGCATTTGGTTTATATGAATTTTGTATGTGTATATATTAATATTTTGTGTTTCTTAATTTTACCCAGGAAGCCTACGGTATATGGCAGTAGCTGTGGATGACCATCACTGGGTATGTATTCTAGATTTAGAAACATCACAATTCATTCAAAAGAAAGAGATCTTCGAGAGGTTCAGAACAGAGGATGGTGGTGCTGACCAATACTCAGTGGATACTCTTGCTCTTTCGCTCAGCGGACACCGACTCTACCTTTCTGGATTTGAAACTGGCGACCTTTATGTGTACAACACGAACACAATGGAGCAGGAAACTGTCTATCCAGGTAGGCATAATGTTCACTGTGTGTTTCTCTTCACAAATAGAAGAGAAGCCTTGTTTGTGAAGGGTACTGTTGTCACACTGAAGACATTGGCCATCATGATGAAGCTCGAACCAGTAATATCATCCACATACTCAACCTTCCAAATCAAGTGTCACGAACATAGGATAAGTTTGAAAATGTTAATAAATATAGAATATGACTTCAATGTGCAGGAGAAAACTTTGTTTGTTCATCTACACATTTGTGCCCATTTGTATTCGAATTTCGACGGTAGTGCCTTCTAATTCCGACAGGTAGTGACGGAGACACCTCTGACAAGTTCAAGATTACAAAGGATGGAAAAACAGTATATACTGCCAACATTGACCACGTTGTTTTATGGGATTTACAAACTGGAAACAGATCTACAATACTTCAACATGGACAAGGTTAGTTTCATTTATGCTGATACGTTTTGAATTGTTTCAAATAATAGTAAATAACATCAGCATAAAACAAACACGTTTGTCATGTTTACACGGTGCCCTGTAATTTAACTCTGCTACTGCTACTGGATCTTTATCTTTACCAGACATGACCGATGTGGTGATGATGGACATGACAACAGCTGCGTCCTACAGCGATGACAGGGTGGTTCGAATCTGGGATTTAACCAGGGAAGCAAAGACTCACAGTGACGAACAAGAAGACGTTATAGACTCATGGGCCACGTGCCCTGTCGGCGATGATGAAACTGATAACGTGGAAGATGAAAACAAAGCAAAGCCCATTGAAATCAAGTATGTTTATGACACAAATTATCTCATTATCTGTGTAACGCGAAGTACTATGCCCTCCGTGGGCAAGCATACATGATGAATTGAAGAAGGAAATATATTAATGACCTACATATATTAGTCTAGCATATAGATTTTCAACAATTGCAATTATAGTTACACATTATCCTTGTCATTGCTAGCACCTGATCCCAAGATTTGAGAAAAACCTCATCCTTCTGAAAATATATTTGTATTGAATTTTAGCCCCGTAAAGCTCAAGGGTCCAAAAACCGTTTTCACAATTGTATTTTTAAGGGGTTTGAAGACCCTTCCAAATCCACGCTATGTTCTGCTGAAAGCCAGTCGACCCACGACGAAATACCTTCAAGTGTACGATCTGCTAGTGAAGAAGGTAGTCAGACACATCAAGGTGGTAAGTAATGCAATAAACAATCATTTCATTTTTTTCATGTTGGGATAAGGTGAAGTGAGGTGAAATGGGGTTTACAGTCGCATTCAAGATTATTGCATTCATAAAGCGGGGTGTTTTAGCAACAGAATGAAGGAAACACATGGCCTTCTTTTCAAAAAGCATGCTTTGGAATGGTTTTTGTTATTGTATCCCATTTCTGTTATCATATTGCAGATTGTTAGTGAAAGTGCTTAACTGAAAGGACGTTTAAATTGCCTGTTTTTCAGGACCTTTTGCCGTCCAAAATCACCCCCCTTGAAGACAGCATGCACATCCTAATACCAGTTAAAAGACGACTGAAGGTTGTAGACTTATCATCTGCAACTCTCCTGAGAACGTTCGAAGGGAAACTGCCAAAACACAGTACAGATTTCAGTCTAGTTGCAAACAAGAAAGGTTGGTTGGTTAATGATCATTACAATAATCACAAGAAAAGGACCAACCATGGATTCCAGTGAAAGGTTTTGGAAACAGTTGTGGTCAATCCCCGGCAACTGTAACCTCGAGGAGTGAGTGAGTGAGGTTTTACGCCGCGTTTAGCAATATTCCAGCAATATCACGGCGGGGGACACCACAAATGGGCTTCACACATTGTACCCATGTCGGGAATCGAACCCGGGTCTTCGGCGTGAAGAGCGAACGCTTTAACCACTAGGCTACCCGACCGCCCCGTAGCCTCGAGGAATCATTGGTAGAGGAATATAATGATTGTGTACACGAAAAAATAAAATCACCATTGTTGGGTTTCATTACACCTGATTGCCTAAAGAATGTCATTAAAAAGTCCATATCTAATACGGCGCCAGGGCCTGATGGTATTCGAAACCGGTTTTGGAAACTGTTCCCTAGTGTCCAAATACCATCGCAGTTTAATACTTCACTGTTTAAATTCTCTTGTGGGTACATGGGATGTTCCGCCTTGGTTGTGCAAAGGTCGAACAATACATCTCAAAAAGAAAGCTGATTTGACTGATCCCAAAATCTTCCGCCCTATTACCTGTCTGAATACACAATTCAAAATATTTACAGGGTGTCTTACAGATTTTGTGTCGTGATACTGCGCATCCAATGACATTATTCACATGGAGCAGAAACGAGTCAGAAAGGGATGTTGGGGTAGTAAGGATCAATTACTAGTTCAGAAAATGATCCTTGAAGAGGCTAAAACTTACCCCGTAACCTCTCAATGTGTTGGATAGACTCCAGAAAAGCTTATGATTCTGTACCTCACAATTGGATTTTGAGGTCACTAGAAAGTATTGACCTCCCCGAGTGACTACTTATTTTACTCCAGTCTTTAATGATTTGCTGGGCAACACAACTTGAGATGTATTCGCAGGGGCAGATGGTGATTCCGGAACCCATTTATATTAGAAGAAAAATATTTCAGGGCGATTCTTTTAGCCCTTTGCTTTTCTGTTTGTCACTAAATCCTTTAAGCTTTTTGCTCAGCAAAGAGGATGGTTATCACACGGGACCTCCTCAGCACAGATCCCCAACACCCCTCCTTTACATGGATGACCTTAAAGTTATTGCCAAAAAAGGATCTACGCTCAAAAAATAGATTCTGCTTGTCGAGTCCTTTTATAATGATATCGGCATGTTCCTTTGGACTCGACAAATGCAACATTCTTCATTGGCAAGGTAGAAGAGGAAGGATCAGTCAGTTTACTTGGGAAAGGAGTTATTGACCATCTCGTGGAAGGTCAGGCGTACTTAGGGATGCAGATTTGGGACAAACTCCAGAATACCCATATCAAGAACAAACTTCGGGCAGAGTGCAAATGTAGACTTTAGAAAAGAGTTCAGAGCTGAATGCTCACAATGAAGTCAAAGCCACAAATACTTATGCTGTGCCCATCCTTTTGTATTCTTTTGGTGGTGTTGATTGGACAAAACAAGACATTCAGGGTATTGACACCCTCACACGAAGAATCATGGCAGACAATAGATCCCGCCACCCTTCCCTCAATCGCTTATATTTACCAATCATAATGAGAGGCTCTTCGAGATAAAATTGGGTTTTTCAACTTTTGTCTGATGATGCTCTTATATAACATGTTAAGACTCATGATGAAAACACGGCATTCCACAGTTTTCTAAAACGAGCCAAGGATGTGGGACATAATCTCAGTGTCAGTGTTGATTATATTGATGGTTCTGTACTGCTGGATGGTACAGAAATGAGGGTCAACCAAGAGAAGTGCCATACCAAATCGGACCAGTTATCCAAGGAGAAGCTATCGGAACGACTACTGCATCGAGTTTATGTGCAGTGGGTTGAAAGGATCAGCAACCCTGCTGTGTCCTTCGCTTGGATGAAGTCGTCTGCCTGAAAAGGATTATTTCATGATCCCTAACTTTTTTTGAAGAGAAAGTGTTAGACGATTGATCATTCTGTAAAACTTCATAATTCACATCACCATTAATGTTATCGAGTTTGTTTTATCACATAAAGCACTGTACAATGCTACACCGGCATGCCATGTAATGTCTCCCACTGTGTTACTTTGCATTCGCAAGGGATTCACATTATCAAAGCGTAAATCTGAAAGATCTCTTTTCTCGTGTCAGCGGGCAACTTATCAGCTATTTGAAAGAAATTGGTCTGTATAATCAAATTTAAATATGTATGGGAATAATTAAATGCTTTTTTTTAAATGTGGTGTGATACTATTATCTACTGACTTTATTGAAGGCTCTGTCCAGGGGGTTAAAGTATCGTAAAAATTATAGTCCCCCTGTGTTACACGTAATGCTATCATAATCGATGTAACTATCATCGACCAGTGTTTTTAAGCCAACTCATTGCTGAGTTGTTGTTTTTATTGGCTGGTATTATTCACAACCACCAGTGGCTAAAGTGATGACGTAAATCCTGCTGGTGTATCATGCATGAAGCAGAGGTACTGTAAGTTTAAAACTGTATATATAATATTGATATGCTCAAATATGTTTCATAAATTGTTTCTAAATATATTATTCTCAAATATGTTTCACAAATTGTTTTTAAATAAACATTTGCATTAATAACTAAATTGTAAATATATTAACTTGGTCTCGTCGCGATATGGCTGAAACAATGTCGATGCGACATTAAATTTTAACTCACTCCCTCACTCACTGTTGCACGTTGTATTTTTTTCTACTCATTCATATAATAGAAGTTGCGACTTTCACAAGAGGATACAAGGGAATCAAGCTGTATGATCTTGCAACTGGAAAGACACTGGCCGTAATGGAGGCACAGAACACAACGAAATTTAAATACATGACGGTGAGCAATAGTGGGCCAGTACTTTCTAGAAGAGTAAGTGAATGTTTGGTTACATTCAACAATATCACAACTATCATGAATGGCTGTGTATAGTAATCTCCGAATTGCCCAATGCACTGAAATTACGAAGAACTGTTCTGTGGAACCAGAATGTTAATATATAATGTTATAAGGTTCCTAGTTCTGACAAGAACATTTAGGCATCCTTTCAACGTTAGTTGTGCTCCGCAAGTGGACAACAATATGTTATAGCTACATGATGACACGAGACTGTGTATACAAAATATCAGCAAGCTATGGCGCATGAGGGGGGGGGGGGGGGGGGGGGGGGACTGATATTTTGTATACACTGTCGAGTGGTAAGCATGTTTTATCTAGTGGTAAACGAGCATACGCCTGAATGAGGACACATCCGCACAAAATAATTCTGGCGCAGACTCTAATTCATTATTTTAAAATGTCTGACATAAAGGGCCCAGACCTTTTATTCAGATCACGAATATCGGTACAACTTTGTGTCAACATCGTTTTACATTGTATTACTTACCCGTGAAGATCCGGGTTAGAATAGGTCTTCATCAACCCATAAGTGTCATACAAGGCGACAATGCTTGTCGTAAGAGGCGACAGACGGCATTGGGTCGTTAGGCTCGCTGAGTTGGTTGATGCATGTCATCGATCCTAATTGCGTGGATCGATGCTCATGACATTAACCACTGGAATGTCTGTCCGGACTCGAGTATGTACAGACGGCCGTCATATAGCTGCCAAGAGGAAATAGAACGAATGGGCACACTATTTCCAGCAACCCATGCTTGCCGTAAAAGGCGACTATTATTGTCGTAAGAGGCGACTAACGGGATCGAGTGGTCAGGCTTGCTGGTTGATGCATGTTATCGTATCCCAATTGCGTGGATCGATGCTCATGATGTCATGATCACTGAATTATCTGGTCCAGACTCGATTATTTACAGGCCTCCGTCATATAGCTGAAATATTGCTGAGTGCGGCGTTAAACAACAAACAACAGCATTGTTATTTATTTTTCCTGACTTCGTTTGATATTTTTACATTCTGTTGTGCGAGGGCTACCCAGGCACCAGCCAAATCTGCCTTCATTTGCGAAACCAGTCAGTGATGCCTCAAACGTGTGGTGAAATTTCAGATATAACATATGTGATGTCTGATACATTATGGCCTGTTTTCAAGTGTAGCATTTATCGCCATGAATGCATCAAAGGACTTTATGCAAGCTGGTAGATATCTTATTGATGCAAGACGTTACCTCATTGACAGTCATTTGTGACTTTTTATCAAAAACATTTTTGCTGCTATTTTACTATGTCAAAGAATAGTTTTACCAAGAATCTATAATATTCTTTTGCTGTTACTTTTTGCTGCGAATCTTATAGTTCTATGAGAAACTATCTCTGTGTTCAAACTGGAGATCACCTCATAACCTCTGTGGTGTGGCTTCTGCTGCAGGCTGGTGAGAAGGGCACAGTCCTGGTGGCGGCTATACATGGCGGGCCTTGCTACGTATTCGACATACCAAAACGGACATGTTTGCATAAACTCAACCTTCGTCATTTCAACTCACATAGTATGTACATCGGCGACGTTGTTTTTACCAACGACGACGCCTATTTAGTGTTCGAAGTCAAGACACGCCCTCAAAAGGCACCTGAAGGTAGTCGCGATGTCTACATGCCACTATGCTGGGATATACAGAGAAGTAAGTGCACGGTCACAACCAAATAAAGTCCAATTCTTTGATATCTTTACAGAAAGTGAATTGACAGATGGCCAGGACGATATCTGCCCTATTTCCCTTTGCCAGATGACACAAAAATAATAATAAGATATTATTTTCGGTTAATGCTACTCTTTTAGGGACCTGTCCTGGTCCTACCCTAACGAAAACATAGGCTCAGAACCAAGTGTTACATCAAGATTTAGAAGTTTAATTACGATAATTATGATATACACTACCACATGTATGCAGTGATAGTGCCTCAACTCACCAACCCCACGGAGATTCCGGGTTACAATTTAGGGGCCCAGCAAGTTTTTCGCACGAGTGCAATTTGTGAAGCCCATTTCTGGTGTCTAACGCCGTGATATTGCTGGAATATTGCTTTTAAAAAAAGCGTACAGCCATACTCACTCACTCACTCACTCACTATTGCTAAAACTCTCAACTATATATGTGTTTCTGTGCCGTTTTCAGACTGTATTCACAAGCAATTGGTTGACTATGAATACTACCTTAAAGCTATCAATAATGGCCAAAACGTCAGCAAGGTTGATGCTTTCCAACTGCTTGATAATAGGACAATAGCTGCCAACTATACTGATGCCCTCATTCGAGTGTTCGATCTACATACAGGTAGGTTAATCTTGAATATACGTCCGTTTGCACCTAGCATTGTATAATGCGGAATCAACATTGTTCTAGAAAATAATGATGCTTTGTATACAAATACACAAGGGTTGTTTCTGTCAACAAAGAGAAGAAGGATATAGCTTAATAGAAGCAAGTCCGCGTTTGCTTGTATGTGTATTTACACGGTCCTTTAATAACGAAAGGACAACGTTTCCCTTTAATTATTAGGTTGCCTTCCGGTTCTAAATTATTTAATATAAATTTAATTAGTAATATATTAGTAACTGTAACTATAAGTACATTATATATATATATATATATATATATATATATAATAAACATAGCTTGCTCGAGTACGTTAACTCTTAACACTTGGAGTACGACAAGTAGTACCTATGTGTTGTATCTTTATGACTTTTCCAGGAGAAGTGAAAAAGAGGCTTGAAGGACACCTCACTGCCAACTTTTCAGTTGTCAAAGATGGGCCTTTCTTGATGTCACATGGTATCGATATTGAAGACAATGTGATCAAGATGATTGACAGGACAACATTTGAGACTAGGGCCACCTTTTCATTGGATTATGAGGTTGGTTTATCTTCATTTCAGGTGTTCATAAACATAAAAATACCTAGCCATGGTTTGTTTGTTTGTTGTTTAACGCCGCACTCAGCAATATTTCAGCTATATGACGGAGGTCTGTAAATAATCGAGTCTGGACCAGATAATTCAGTGATCATGACATCATGAGCATCGATCCACGCAATTGGGATACGATGACATGCATCAACCAAGTCAGCGAGCCTGACGACCCGATCCCGTTAGTCGCCTCTTACGACAAGCACAGTTCGCCTTTTACGGCAAGCATGGGTTGCTGAAGACCTACATGTATTCTTTCCCGGATCGTCACGGGTCACCTAGACATGTACATCAATCATACATTTGAAAATGACTCCAGAACAATGGAAGTAAGACAGGTCATCTCTAATGGTATACGTGTGTTGTTCAATATCGCAGGTGCCACAAGACGGGTATTGTACAATTCTAATACAACCTGAGCTAAGTGTGTTAATTATGTCGTGATTTGACCTCTATCCTTTCTTTTTACATGCTTAAATAAGATTTTCTCTGAAGTAGGAAAACGATCTTTCTTTACTCACTTGATATACCAATCCTTCAAGACTCTTTTGGAAATAGTGTGCCAATTCGTTCTTTTTCCTCTTGGCACTATGCATCTTTAGAGATTAAAATTATGTTATTAATACGGCCTCGTGTCATTCCTTATAGATACAAGATTTAGTGCTCACCGAAGATGGCTACCATGCGGTCGGGTACTTCAACGAGTCCAAGAAACCAGTGCTATGGAGCCTAATGGGAGGATCTGAAGATGATCCAGCTAGGAAAGCATTCAAACCTTTATCAAGTTTCCCTGACATCTATGGACCTGACAGTAAGTTTGACAGTAATTGATACACAATCTTAATCTATTATTGGACATTGTTATTGTCATAAACCATCTGTTTTATTGACATACAGGGCAAACGTGCAAGTCAGATTAACAAGAATGAGGGACTGTATGAGTCAATGAGTATAGTTTTACGCCGTTTTTAATGTAATCGAATTGTGTTCCCGAACGTTAGCCTTCTGTATGACGAACGAATGCTAAAACCACAAGGTTACCCCACTGTCCAACCTTTACAAGAAATTGGATTGGATTTATATGATTGAATATACGCAGCGGTTCAACTACAACTACAACTGGAAATGGACACGGATGAGGAGGAAGACCCGGATGACCTTGACAAAGACATCGACGATGTGTAAAGTGACATCAAAGTCGACAGTGATGCTTCGAGTCCTCTGTCCTCTATCACTTCATCGAATGAATCTGATTGGTCAGATTTGGACTTGGATGAGATGCTATACGGGACGAAACGGGAAAGCGGGACAAAGAGGCAACGGACTGGATACTTGATTCGAGCTCTCATAATACAAAACAGTTACAATGTTATAGTGCAATATTGTACGTATGTAGGTTTGTGTATGCATATTATTGTATGTATGTCAGGTGGTGGCATTTCACAGATCAGAATGTTCAATATCGCCTTTCAGATGCTTGAAAGATTTCTTCAAAACTTAATACAAATAGGCTATAATATCTAATCTTCATAAATGTGAGAATACACTAATAGGACCCTTCACGGCTATAGTGTACAGAGGAAATAGAAATATCCATTGACTTCAGAAATAAGTGAATTCAGTCAATTTTCAATTCAGAGTTGTCATCTATTATTTCTGTGCTTATATTTTACAATAAGATTATAGTTCAATTGTGGCATTAGTAGTGTCTATATACCACAAGAAGACAGTAATAAATATATAATATTTAAATTGAAATTAACACTATGTACAGCTTATTCTTATGTCGAAATGTCTGTCACATGACCACGAAACTGACGTTCATGATCGTATGAACGATACATTTTGACATTCGTAAGTTTTTCACGCGACTCTTGACATGTCATTTTTCTGAAATCTTGAACTCAGCGTCATTGGGAAAAGTCAGAGTGTTTGACCACATGTCCGTTCACGAATCTCCTCAATTCTTACATGTAAACATTCATTTGAACATTTAACATACCTATGTATATATATGTAGTAGCATTAGTGAATTGGTTGTTTCCATTTTACCCTGATCACATTCTCTATAAGAACGCCTGTGATACATTTTACTTATTACTTTAGTGCGTGAGTTGGGTTTAACGCCGCTATATCACGGCGTGTCAGCTTAATGTGGGAGGAAAGCCACTTCGGTGAAACCCTCGAGCACGGATATGGTGCTGACAAACCTAGAAACATAATCGGGGCGAACCGGGATTCGAACCCACAATCATAGGTTCCTTGCGTGCCCAAGGGACGCAACCCTGGACAGCGAATCGCGGACGACTGTACTTATTACTTTAACACGGGAATAAAATTCTTGAATATAATTGGATTGATGTGTGTTTTATTTTATACTTTAGTGTGAAAGACTCTTTTGAAGTTGAAAAAGAGATACTTTCACTGCAGTGAACATAGCACTGTCCCTGGTAACTGCTGTGAACATAACACATTGACGGGAGTTACCTCCCTTTAAATTGTCTCCCTTTATCGTAAGTGTCAAGCCCGTGCACAAACTGTTGACATCCTGTTCCACATTGACAAAGCAAAAAAATGACAGATGTTCATTTATGGAGTTAATATCACTTCTCGCCGTTGTTTATGTATTCCCTGGAAAATGTTCCGTTATAAATTGTAAATTTCTCATTTAATTCGTCAATAGAGACTGTTCGTTTCGCAAAGCGCCATTTTTGTTATTTGACCAGCGTGTATTCTTTCGGTTCCAACAGCGGTATCCAAGTTTTCAAGAATATATTCTGTTAAGGTTGATTTTGAATATAATCATATCTAAATGTATGCTAAAGAAGTTTCGTGACACTAAATATTTTTTGGATACGTTTGTTTATATTTTTTAAGATTTTGAAAACACGAAACTATTTAAGTCGTAAATACAAGAGGTGGTCAACCGCCCCTGTGTATAAGGTAGGGAGAATTGACGTTTCAAGGTTTTACATTTGTAATGAAATAATTTAATTTTCCGGTAGACAACTACACACAATGTATATAATAAATAGGATATTCCGTGTGTCTCGCGAAATATCATGTTTCTCTCATTTCGTGAGGTGGGAAAATGAGTTATTTTCACTTGTGAAAATATCTCCTTTGCCCCCGTCACTCGACGAGAGAAACATGATATTTCACTTGAAACATGAACTATCCTCTATATAAATTGTTTGATAGGCATTACTTAGAAGTTGACGGATGACAAGATAGACACAATTTTTGTGGATAACAACTTCTTTAATACTGTGAAAAGCGACGTTTCGGTATAGATCCTTATACCGTTGTCAAGCAAGACTGTCTTGCTTGACAACGGTATAAGGATCTATACCGAAACGTCGCTTTTCACAGTATTAAAGAAGTTGTTATCCATAAAAATTGTGTCTATCTTGTTATCCTCTATATATTTTCATAAATAATACATTTTAAGACGAAAACCGATGGCATACCAATGACAACGCATACAATGACGCTACCAGCTTCAGCGAGCGTCCTACACATGAGTGAGTGAGTGTGTGTTATTTTATACCACGCGTACGGTCATCGATAATACAGTTATATCACCGTAGTCACTTAACCATCGAATCTGGACCAATGACCATTACCTGTGTGTAAGGTGTCATAGTTTGGCAATGATAGCGATTTGAATCTGTTTCGGCGCATAATCAAGACTGGGTACTCTCCTGCATTGGCATTTTGTATTTACTTGAAATGGGTCAATGTTTCCGCTGGTGGACGGAAGTCCTCGAGTTTCATCATAATTTCAGTAGCATTTATCTGTGTTCAGTCAACTACAAGGAAATGTTTGGGCCGAGACATCAACACTGTCCCCACTGTGCAGTAAAACGAATGTATTTGTTAGCCGTTTTTCTTTATTTAAAAGCAGTGAAATCTTTCTATTTGTACACAACAGACTATCGTGTAACTTGATTTTCTGATTGGCCGATCACTTGATTGTCTGGTTTGTTTACATGCCCCCCTTCGCATGTCAGGAGTAATGCTGTGTGGCGTCAGGCAATACACACTTACTTTTCATGCCAATTGTGTGGTTCGCCGTTAGGGCATGGCATGCTTACCCTTTTCGCGAACACCTGGTGTCACTACTGATCTCAAGTGGTCCATTCATATAATTGCTACAGCTATTTTGTCCTTTAAGCCAAATTGAAAATGTTTCGGCGGAAAATCAAGACTGATTATTCTCTTGCATTAAAATATTATATTTTACTGGAGACGTAATAGGATATCACTGATATTGATTTTGTTGTTTACTTATGCAATACCCCGATCGCCAAGCTTTGTTACTATTGTTGTAAATATTTGGTCTTGCACTACATGCTATCGTGTCATGTTATGAGAATTGGCCGGGCATAAACGACTACCGTAAAAACTCCGTAACTATACAAAAGTACAAGGAATTGAGGCACCATTTCTATGATAAAATTTTAACGAGTTGTCGTGGTACGAATGATTGTAAATCCCCATTGCTGAGGTCACACGGTAGAATACTTTGTTAACCTGAAAAGTGTTGTCGCCGTCCTTATATTCTCACTTCCGAAAGAAATGCACACCCTAAGTACGATATAACCGAAAGCGAACAGGTGATATATATATTCAAACCGTAGGGAGGACATTTCCAAATTTGACGCATCAGTGACAGCAATGATGTCCGATGCAATTCCCAATTTTGCCACCACATGTTCCCGTAATTTATTCAGGTGAACACTTGACATGCCTTTGCACGTTTTTGTGACGGGTGCCACCGATGGGGAAGGATACGCTCACCCTTTCGCGAACACTGGGTATCATCACTGTTTGATAGTGATTCATAAACACATGCTCATGATATAGTCGGAATCGTACAATCGACTCTGCTTAGCCGAGATTTCTATTGGACATGGAAAGGGTTTTGTCGCTTTATTTATAGTTCATTGCAAGTGTATTTGGTCTGTTGAGACCGTTTTTATATTAGTGACAGCCAGTTGGACGTGATAGGGGACCAAATGGACACAGAAATGGAAAGGGACGAGTACAGAGCAGTCATCAAGTTGGGTTTTTTTTATTTTAGAGAAAAGTACTCCCCAAGTAATTCATGACTGCATGTCACAAGTATATGGGGCTACGTTCCCTAGCTATTCCACTGTTAAATGTTTGACAGCTATGTTTAAGCCATGATGATGACCCTAGATCTGGATGTCCCTCAACTTCTATCAATGAAGATTCAATCAGGGAGTTAGAAAAACTTATACTGTCAGATAGACGTTTTACCGTTGCTGAACTTGACGATTACCTGAGAGATTCTATCAAAGAGAAACGGCAAGGAATGCTGACTGCTTGAGTTCTACTACTTAATGACAATGGATCTCCTCACACCTCGCGACTTTCAAAAACTGATGTGCGACAATATTGGTTCGCAGAGCTTCCTCACCCTCCATACTCGCCATACCTGGCACCAAGTGATTTCCACCTGAACCTCTTAATAGAAAATTATTTACTTAATTAAAGGTGTGTGACAGAGTAAATGTGACCAAATATAGTGCAGTTTTGATTTAAATTACTAAATTACAATTACTAAAAAAAAAAAAAAATACAATACACTAAAATAAATTTCATCACAGAAGCATGTAACACATCCTCCGTGATCATAAAACACTGACCACTGAGTCTATAAATGCACGTCTGAACGATACTACTGCACTGGTTGTCAAAAATATTTTGAAGGTAAACACATACCTTTACGAACGGTCCCATGGTTGTCGGGAACCGATAAACCTTCCAGGAATGACAAATAACCGATCATATTATTCCGAAATAAGTAAACATTTACGACGGTCAACAGCGGTGACAACCAAGCGTGGTATTATACTATGTCTAGCAGAGTTTTCGTTGGCTGTCGATCATTTCGAAAGCAGAACTAGTTCATGAGTTTAGGCATTTCACCGGAAATGGTGGTACCGGAAGTAGCGCTTCGCGAGACTTACGGGCCCTATATCACGGCGGGGGACACCAGGAATGAGCCTCACACATTGTACCCATGTGAGGACTTCGACGTGACGAGCGAACGCTTTAACCACCAGGCTTCCCCACCGCCACCAAAGGCATAAGGCTGATGGAATATTGCATCTTACTGGTGGAAGTTAAAAACTGGCTGTGTATACGTGAGACTGATTCCCGCATCCTTCTGGTAAATAATTTAGTCAATGTTTTAAAGACTTGCACTGACAACAACTTAATGTGAAGTGATCTTACCATGTAAGAGTAACCTAACAAAGATATTTTCTTTCCTTTCAATAATTGTCATGTATTCATGTTCTTCCCACTTCTAAATGCCCATACGCGTCGTGTCTGTACTCAATACAAATCGTGAGCTATAACCAACACTATGAGCCAGCTGTAATAGAGAAGTGTGACACAGCACCAGCTCCATGGAATGTTCCTTATCCCTATTGGGGTTTGTTTGCACACCCTATCCACGCATAAGTATACACCGAGACAATGGCAAGTCACTGACAGTCTGCTTCCTCGGGAGTGTTATTGGTAACTGCACGTGGTATGCGTTGGTGACTTGAAGAACTACTTTCAGAAATGGTTGCGAATACAGTACTGGATCAATAGCTTGACTGGAGGAGCCTGGAACTAACTGTGTGATCTGACTTGGATATAGGCCAGTCTACATACAGACCTGAGTTAACAGATTTGATGGAGACAGAACGTGAGGAGTTAGTGGTATAGCGTACATTATGTATACCGCGTTATATCGAAGGTAAGACAGCATTCATATATCATCGATCAAAATATTGTGTATATTTGAATATCAAGGATGGTATGTGGAGGGCTTAAAGAAACATACCGTATTCGACATAATAAGCGCCCAGGGCGCTCTCCAAATGAGAAATAGGGGACACTTTTTGGAATATTATTTTGGTGAAAAACAGCAGTGTTGAAAGATCGTAAATTTCGTGGTTTATGCTGACAGCCTGAAATATTTATATACGACAGATATATTTTTCCGGAATTTAATTTCCCATAATTAAGGATGCATATAACACACGTATTATACACGAATGAAGGTCTTGTTTACATTGATCAATCGGAATGGGTGCTAATTTGGATTATTCACTAGCCAGTATATTAGCAAATATCGCCGTGGGCGCATTTTACGTCGAATACGGTGCTGCAAAACGTTAATGACAGACCATCTACAGAACGAAGTTGATAATCCATCTATTTTGCATAATGCATATATGATTTAATATAAAAACTGTCAATATGTTAATATCTAATAACGAATGAAAGATGTTCCTCATAGCATTACATGGTTGATTAC